ATGTAAGATTTTCTCTGGCTGGGGCTGCGCTTGGCAGTCAGCAAGGTTCCAGATGGATGCCGATTTCCTTTCCAGCAGACTGCTAGTCTTGGTTATGGACCATATGTGAGTGAGGTAGGGCAGGTGAGGACATCTTGGCAACAACATTATACTCTTTCCAAGAAGAGTAAAAAGAGAGCAGAGAGATTTCTGATCTCCATTTGGGAGTTTTTTTTTTCTCCGTTTCACAAAAACAGTTCACACATGTACAGACTGAGCCTTGGACACAAGGCATTTTATTTCTACCTTTTTTTCCCCTTATCGCTCATAACGTCGCTACCTCATTGAACTCCTCGAAAGATAGGAATCACCACATGATGTGCTGCAGTAAAAAAACAAATCTCTGCTCTTATTTTGCTGACAGACATGGAGTGAAATTCTGCTTTAGATAGAACCTGATCAGTGAACAGGGCTCTAGTTTAAGAATTAAACTTATTATTAAGGATCTCAACAGTCACCTTTCTCTCAAACAGAGAGCAATCATTCGTCAACTGAATTAATTTTTTACAGCATGTTGAGTCATAATGGCATAAAATATCTGTATATTGTAAAAATGTTATTGGAATAAGCAGAGCACTGGATTTCAGCAATTTAGATACCGTATCAAACAGATATTGTGAAATGGTGAAAGCATTTTAGGAATGAGGGAATGCTCTTCAGGAACCAGTAGAGTATGGTTACAGTTTGTTGTATTTTTGAACAAATATGGGAGAGATGGAGGTGAAAACCTATACCCTTGACTCCCTAATGACACTCAAAAGTTTACTTAGATTGATGCAATCAACCTTTTCCTTAAGATAAGCCCATATATAAGCCTACTCTGACCCCCAAATTTGTTCTGTAGCTTAAAGGGTGGATGATAACTGTGGCCTGCCTTCCTGAATGACACTGCTGCCATCTAGAGGAAATAAAAAATCTAAAATAAAAAAAGCCTCAACTAACAGAAATCCTTTATTTTTTATTTTTTTGCAGTTTTAAACCTTTTAGGTTTTCTGGTGTCAATTAACCTTGTGTGTTACATGCAGAGAAGAGTAAGCAGATCACTAGCAAACCAAAGTAAAAAGCTTTTTTTTGTACAGTCTTCATGCACTTTTTAAGAACTCAAGGTGTTGCTGATATCACTTTCATTGCTGGTGAAAATTCTCAGTCATCCAGGTCATAGTCATTCCAAAAAACTTTAAAAATAATCCACTGGACTTTGTTTCCAAGTTTGAAGACCTTTCGCTTCCCATCAAGGAATTTTTTCAATTCAAAATGTCAGACATAGAAATAGAGTGGACCAATAAAAAGCCTTTTTATTGGCTTAGAATTCTGCATGTTTCTAAGGTAAAACAAGGCTTTGTTTTGGTCCACTCTATAAAGCCTTGAAGTCAACGCTATTTCTGACATTTTGAATTGAAAAAGCTTCCTGGATGGGAAGCGAAACGTCTTCAAACTTCAAACAAAAAAGTCCAGTGGATTGTTGTTCAACTTTTTTGGAATCACTTTCATTCCCGTGCAACATCAGAACAAAGGATTAGCTTAACACACTGAACTTAAATTAAGCATTCGTTGATTAAGAAAAGTTTAACTTCTGTGTAGAAGGGATTCAATGAATGCCAGAAGAGTGTCTAACTAATGAATCAGGTTGGTCAAAAGTTTAAATCTTGCCCAGGAATAAATGAACTCAAACTGGTTTTGACATCAATCATAACCAGAATTATTTACAGTTCACCTTAATTCATTTTAATATTTTTGCTACTGTATTGCAGAAAATGACAAACCTTTCAGAAGGTTGACACGGACCATCTTTGATCAGCCCTTTAGACTTGCTTTTCAGATCAATGTCTAATTCAGTGGTCTAAAATCTTCAAAGGCTGATAACCTGCAACATCTAGATGTCTCTGCTTTAACACATCCAATATAAAATGAGCTCATTAGAGGAGCTCTGTAGAGTTCAAATGCACTCTAGTGGGGTCATTTGATTCATGTGCATAAGGCAAGTGACACATCTAAAAGACGCAGAAAAGCAGCTTTGAAGATTTGAGTTTGCAAACACTGGTCTAGTTTAAATGCAGCTTTAATTGGAGGTAAGTTAAGGAAATCGGTTCACACCTTCCCTCTTTATATCAAACAGTCCAAAGGTAAGATATTAGCCACTCCGTTCCAACACTGGATACCAGCTGCAGTGAAGAGGCAGGATACATCCTGGACAGGTCACCGGGCCATCCCAGGGCCACACAGCCTGTGCTTTTCATTGGTTCTCAGAAGTCAAAATTTCAAAATTGGAAGTTGCTCATTTATATTGAAAAGCCACACAAATTCAGAATTATCAGTTGAAAAGTCAGAACCACTGGATTGTACCTTAAAATGGATACTAAATACATGATTATTATACCTTTTCTGCTTTGACTGTAGTAGTTATTTATGTTTAAATAGAATCAATGACCTACAAATTAGAAATGGTGACATTAAAAATAGTTCTTCCTCCAGAAAAATATCCCTCAATGCTTTTCTGTTATACACTTACAATTGTATTTCCAATGTATAGTTTGGGAGCTGCAATTGCTTTAATATGTCATTTCAACCGTAATTTGCTCCTTAGACCCTCAGGGCTTAAGTCACTGGTTCAGTTACTACTTGTTTAAAAAATGGTAAGTTTCATTGCAGCGTATAAGTGCAGAATATGCTGCAGAACAGATTTTGTCATGCTAGAGTTGTCGCAGCAGCCATAGAGAATAGGATGGTCCGCAAACTAAGAAATTGAACGCATTAACCTTTGTGATGACGTCACTCCAAATGATCCAACTCATATCCAAGACACTAATTAACAAACCATGTTTTGTTTTTTTGTCTGTGGGAGGAAGCTGAAGTACCTGGAGAGAACCCAAGCTTGCACACGGGGAACTTTCAACTATGTAGGAAGAACACAGGCCTTGTTCAGACCCTCTTCCTGTAACCAAGACATGCAAAACAATTGTGTTCTCTGAGCTCCATGTCCTGAAAGTCGATTTAAAGGACGATGGACCTCTAAATTTGAGTAAAAAAATACAGGAAAATCTTGAATTTCAAAGTCTGATCAAAATTGCTCAGTGAAATTTGAGCCTGGTTATTCCTGAATACAAACATAAAACATTAGATCTTTAAAGCTGCAGTGAGGATTTTCATATCCCACTTAGGACCATGAGCAACACTGCATGCACAAATAGAAATATTTACCCCCAAATATCTCTTTATTCTACAGATGTTTACATTTCTATTGACAGACGTTAAGGAACATTGTGTGCATTACTGTCAAACACTTAAAAAGAAGAAAAAAAATTCAGTAAAAACAACAAATACTTTTTATGTACAAATACAACTAAAACATGGACAAAAAGTGGCAGAATGATTCCTTTCACTTGCTATTGATGTTTTTATTCTGTACAGAGGGACAATTTGTACAAAATAATCTAGATATATAACACTAAATGAAACAAGGTAAATCATATATACAATAAATGAATCATATAGTACAGGTCACATACAAAAGGACACTTAAGTTAACAAGTTTTGGAAATTATGTGTTAAAATTAAAAGATCCTCTGGAAAGAGAACAAGCCAAATAATTTCTAAATCATCTCTTCTTCTTATAAATGACTTGTTTTCAGCACTAAAAGAAAAACTTCCAACAATTTGGGCTCATAAAATTAAATACATTTCTCCCAGCAGGCAGGACTGTTTCATAAACCCAAATGACTGAGAATTGAATGGCATTCCTCCAGGTTAAAAGGTACATGTTTGACATGGTAAGTCTAAATTTACAGCTTTTTGCATTCAAGCAAATACAGTATTAATACAGTTCAACTAAGTCACAATGTCAGTTTCTTTTTCACATCTGGCATTTTTGAGGTCATTTTCACACCAGTCCATTTCAGCACTGGGTTTTTTTTTTTTTTTAAATGGCCAGGGATGGAAAAAAAGACAGACAATACAATGAAATACAACACATATAAATGAAGAGAAAAGAAATAAATCCAGCAGATGTTCTTAGTTTAAACAATGGTACTTACTGGAAAGGTTCTTGCGTCTTTAAATCTTCGACTCCAAGAGGGGCTACACTTATTTAACTCAAGAAAATGTAGAAATTAAAGATAAACATCTACATTTCAAGGAACCATTTTCATCGCTTGTAACAAATAAAAAATAAAATAGAAAATGGTAGAACTATCTAGTTAGAAACTACTTTTTAATAAATATCCCTACCTTAAAGCATACAACAGATTAATTAAATCCTTAATTTAGCCCCAGTGGCTAAAGATAATGTGCAGCAGAGCTTTTTGACGTAACAAAAGAGGCGTTTTCCTCAAAGTCATAAAAAAAAAAATCTTCACTAAATTGTACTGTTTGCACAGAAAGTCTACGCCTCACCACTGAGCCTTCCATTTTGCCTTCGGTGGGCTGCCATTATATCCTGCATCCAGGCCCAGCAGCATAGGCAGTAAATGAAGCAGTTTCTATCACCAGTAAATAATGTACCATTGTTTGAACTTATCTGGTTACCAAACATCTTTGAGAGATATTGGAAAGCAAGCATAAAAAAGGAGCGGCGTATGGCACGAAAACAATAAGAAGAAAAGATCAGAAATGTCCACGGGACATTGGTTTTTCTCTTTCCTTGCCATTTTTTTTATTTTATTTTACCTTAAACAACACAAGGCTAAGAACAGGCCCAAGTTTGGTCTTAAGTGTGCTGAAGAAACAAAGTCAAATAGTGGCAACAAACGAAGGCAAGCAGCTCTATGAAGAGTCACAGATAAAAACTTAAATCTAAGCATTAAGAACGCAGCAGTATTGGCACCTAAAAGATGTTTGTTCAAACAGAAATAAAGAAACATTCTTTTTTTTTTTTTTATCCAAACAGCAGAATTTTTATTTCTGTTCCCTCTAAACAAGAAGACACAATCCTCGGACAGTGAATGAAGCGATATCGGACTTGCTAATAGAAACAGATGAAATAAACCTGCGTTGTGCTGTCTGGACTCCCAGGCTTCACCTTTACAGTGAATGCACCAGAGATGATGCAAGGAGAAGAAGTGGTGATGAAAGGATGAGGAAAACGCTGATAGACAAAGACAAAGCATGTCACAGGGTAAAAGACACAAACATACCCCCACTCATCCTCTTATAAAGAAAATAACCTGAGAAAGTGGAAAACAGAGAGGTGGTTGAAGAGGTTCTGCACACAGGCAGCAGGAATGAAGCCAAAATAGGGGTTCAGGGTGAAAAGAAGGATGGTTTGCCAATGTTATTCTGGCACCAGGGCTAGCATGATGTCCATGGCTCTATGGGGTACAAGGGATCTAGAGCCCATCGTGGGTGGTCAACATTTCTTCAGCTCTGCGGTGAGACTCCAAGGCTTTTGTGGTGTAGATATCCTGAGGCAACTCAGATTTGCGTCTCACCATGGGCCGCTCTTTGCGCTGTTCACCCTGCAACTGTGAAAAAAGTAAAAGGAAATTCAGTTATCCCGAGTCCCTGCTGTATTGCATGGAAAACCCCATGCTTTAAGTGCTTCTCTTTAAATTAACCTTGAAAGCCTGAAAATCAAGCTGCACAGTTTTGTTTTGTGGACTTCCTCAAGGTTTTATTCCGAGAAGTGTTTTTTTTTTTTCTCCTCTTTACTGTTTTTTTCTCCTCCAATATTGATCCAAGGGACTCTAGGGATATCCGTCATTGTTGTGCTAATTTATTCCGACTGTGTGATCAGTCAAAGTCTCCGATCTGCAACCTGTAGCTCTGGAGCGACAGGTGGCTCTTTGGAGCCTCTACAATGGCTCTCTTAATAGTGGCCATAAATGATAAAGGAATGCATCATGATTTGGGGAGTGTTGGCCTAGTGGGTTAGAGCAATGGGCTTGCACCCTGAGAAGGTTTCAAGTATCCAGTTTGATCCCCACAGCCTCAACTCTGGGTTCCTGAGCAAGACCCTTGACCTCTGATTGCTCCTTGAGTTCCACACAATGACAGCCCACTGCTCCCCAACGGGATGGGTTAAATGCAGAGGTAAATTTATCCAATATGAGATCAATACAGTTCAAATATTATTATTCTAATATAGTATACCTAGTATAGTAGACCTGGAACAAATTAATGACATTTTGTTTAAAAGTCATTTAACTGGGCTCAGAGGAAAATAGCTTTGGACTTGAAAGGTTGCCATAATTCCAATCTATTGTACCTAACTGCCCAAAAAATTAAGCAATTGTTAAATGAAAACTTTTATTTTTATAAATTAGACTCTTAATTATAAACCCATACTATAATTTTTATATAACTGATCGCAGTGATAATTAAATAAGATTAGTGATTGTGTTTTGAAAACATTTTGATGTCCATGTTAACTATGTCCTGTTAGAGCAGTCATACTTGGTGTTCCTCAAGGAACACGGTGTAGTGTTGTAAAATTGGTATCTATATGCTGATGATACCCAGCTTAAACATTAAGGGATCCAGGTTCATAAATCATCAAGATTATCATTAAACACCAACAGAGAACATCGATTCTTGATCCTGATAACATTCATAATGTAGATGATGACTATTGTTTTGAATTCTTTACACCTAAATTACTGCTTCAGCCTTTAAAACCGTTTTGGCATTCTGATTGTCAAAGATACAGCAGAGCAGATTTCAGCTGGAACCGAACACAAAAGAAAAAATATCTTCAACTTTGACTTCCCGAAACAACATAGGAGTTACTTTTAGAAGAGATTATTTCTTCTATTATCTCAGCAGAAATCACTGACGAAAAAAAAGGACAAGTTAGAGTCTGATATCTCAGACTCTGACCTTGCCATTTCTCTCAGACCCCCGGAGGTTGGGTGAAAGGTTTCTTACACTTCCAAAGCCTCAGCACTGACAGAGTGGCTTGATCTTTCCAGCCAGGATCAGGACCTTAGGATCATTTCCCACGTTCACTACAGAAACACTAATAAGCCTTTAAAAAATCCACTAGTTGGGCAATGATATTGTGATAGCATTGTATTTTTGCCTTTTTTTAACCATCAGTTTTTTTTTCTGTTTACATTTTAATGGCCATATAGATAAACATTAGTTGCACATATAAATTGTGATTAATACAACAAAACCCTAAACGTTGGGAGCAGCAAATATTAGTCAATCAAAATGACTGTGGAAGAAATCATGAAAATGATCATTCCATCGAGTCAAGACCAGCCACTGTGAATGGGTATGAAAACAAATATATGTATAATTTCTTCTTATTGGCTGGTAGGACAGAAATTTTGAATCTTTTTTTGGTGTGCCTGTTCTTTACCAAATTCTTTTCTTAATGAAGGTTTTACAGTAAAGACAGAATAAAGGAAAACTGCCAGTTGTGTAGAAATGGTTCTTTGCATAATTGTTAATTTGTTTAGTTAAAATTTCTTGCGATATGTATAATTTTAAGAGTTTGTTATATAGAAGCTGTTTTTTATGTTAATTATTTTTGTGTGAATGAATCTTATGTAGAACAGGAACCCGCTGGAAAACAGTTTTAACTGAGTCAGACATGGGTTACTGCAATGCTTTTAACATTTCCTTGTATAAAAAATACAATAAAATGAGTCACCTTTTTTATATATTTTGCTAAATATTATATCTGTTATATCTTCATGTCTAACTTGATTTACAGAATGCATGTTGGCAATAAAAATACAAACCAAAAAACTTATCCTACCCCTTTTTTAATGTTCTTTCTTTTTTTTAAATCTGATTTCAGTCCTTGGACATGAAGTTATAGAAAGAAAAAGGTCAATGTATATAATTTTCTTCTTTGAATAAAAAAAAAAAAAGAAAAAAAAAAGAAAAACACACCAACAAACTAAAAAAACTATGTGAAAACAAATTAAACCTTGTCAGGCATTGTGATGTGGAAACAGTGTATATACTAACAGGATAAACAAAAAAAGTGATTGTACTTTAAGACATTATGATACAGTATATGTAAGTATTTGGCTCATAAATTTATGATCACCTATATTTATGTATCTTATATTACACACAAACACCTCTGCGTTCCTGTAACAACAGTATTAAAACAATTTAAGTGTCTTTACTGTAGGATTTAGTCGTTTGGTAGACATGTCTGAGTTTTTGCGTGAATGAAAAAGGTTTTAACTAAAATAGTAACAGTGCAAGCAGGTTGGTGAGGATAAACCTATTCATCATAGACTGATTACAGTAAAGGTAGAGACAGAGAGAAAGTCAGGTTTACCTGAGTTGCGCCCTCCTCAACTGTCTTTTTTAACCTCTGCACATCTTCTATCAAAGGGACATCCGTCTCCATTGCTACAGGACTACTGAGGTCATAGGAATCGAGATACAAACAGAACTACAAAGCAAAAAGAGGGGAGGACAAAGGAAAAAAAAAAAGGGGGGGGGGGGGGGAGAAAAGAGATTCAGTGGCATGCAAGAAGAAGTATTAAAAAAGGTTTAAAGCCTGAAGTTTGCTACGGCTGAGGTAAGGAAACGTTTTAACTGTTAATTTATAGAGCTACCAGTTTACTTCAGAGACATCCCTGCAGCTTGCCGTCATCAGACTGCGGCTGGTAATCAGCATCCCTGTATAGCTTTAAACAATTATTGTTTTACAAAGGCTAAGAGTTTCTGTCAAACAGGTTCTATGTCTTAAAGTCCTCTTAAGGAAATGCCAAAAGAAAGTCCTGGTGTCACTATAGTTCCTCCCAGGAATGCAGTTTTGCCCCTACCCAACCTGTTGCTGTGAGATGCAGGCCAGATAGATAAAGAAGGCAACTGCTTCCATAAAATAAAATAAAAGCAACATAAAGCTGGAAATATTGTTGGTCTTGGAACATAATCTCACAGCTTGTAAATGAAATCAACAATGCAATCTCTATGGTAACGCTGTTTAAAAGTAACATGTCAATTATCATTTTTATACTTAGACGTTCACCAATCAGTTAGAGATTGGATTTTACCTCGACTGGTAGGTCGTATAGTGAGAAAGATGTTTGCTATAAAACTGAAAACTAAATCTTTTTCCATAAATGCATCGCAACAAGGACACACTGTCATGCATTTCAAGATCGATAAGAAAATAAAAGAAAAAAAAATAGATGAATGTTAGGGGCATGCTTAGATGAAGATTGATTATTATTACCTCAGTTGATGCACATGCAGGGTATGACTGGTATTACACCTGTTATAGATCTTAAGATTAATCTTAAAAGTTGTGAAACCCTAAATTGTGCGGCAAGACCAAAGAGAACTGGAAACTATTATGGAGACAGCAAAATGTATAACTACAATAAATATATTTCAATTATTTTCTTACCACAAAACCACAGCCTTAAATTTAGAAGATAGGTCTAACATTTATGTATATGCAAAGGTTAAAATGCATACATCTAAAAATCCCACTATTTTTGGGATGAATAACAAATTTCAGAAGTAAAATTCTCTGCTAGTCACTACTATTAGGCTAAGAAGGAGTTAACTCAAGTAGAAAAAGAATAAAATTAACCAGATATAAACAGCTAGCAAGGATCCAGGTAACTGGAAAGATTTGTAAAGTATGTCCAAACTCAATGTTCCCTGAACATATCCACACTAGAGATGTTTATTCCGTTTTCTTGTGATGCTAAGCTTCTTTTAGCTATAGCCTTAGGTAGCCTAAAGACCATAAGAATGAAAACGAGAAACAACATGATGCTCATAATCATCCAAATGACCCACAGGAAGATCCCTCTGTCAGAGTTGCCCACAGAAATGAGCTGAAAAAAGTTTTTAAGCTCAATGTGAATGAAGTCGCTCTCATTCAGGGGAATATTAAGCTAACCATAACTTAGCAGTCATTTGGCTAACATTCACGCCCAAGATTTAAAACAGAGTACACCGTTTGAATAAATTTGGACAAAAAAGGAGGAAAACAGGTGACATTTATTCATTTAATGAAACGGGTCATCAAAAGTTTCCAAAAGTCTAACAGAGCTTTAGGATTTCGACCATCAGGAAAGAAGATGGAAGGCCAACAAAAGCCACTTCTGAGCAACATCATACAAAAGGATTTACACGCCACTCATTGTGGTCAAATATGGTGAAAATAAATTACACTGAAAACCTTAAATCAATTTGCAAGAAAAAAACAAAAACAGTTAAATTGAGGTCATAGTTTAGCATTTTTTCTGAGTCAGTTTTCTTAGGCAGAAATTTGATCTTCCACAACAATTTATTCTAAGCCTCAAAGTTTTATTTAAGTTTTAGTACTTAATGTTACTAAGCTCGGCATACAAAGAGAGTCAGAAGCTGAAAATCTGATATTTTCTCAGTCAGGGAACTCAAATGTTGCTACCTGTGTTAGCCATTTTCAGAGAGGTGCTTAAAAACAGAGAGTCTCAGATTTATCCTCATCTAGATGATGGATTGCTGGAAGTGTTTACACAATCTCAAAGCAAAAAAAAAAAAAAAAATTATTCATTTCCTGTAAAAACAAGGACTATAGCTAGCAATGCTAATTTTGCCAGTCTAATAGTTGAGTTACCAACAAAGTACAAAAAAATTAAATAGCATAAAATCACGTTTCTTGAAGGATAATCAGATTAGGCTAAACTCGGTTTTTGGGTGTCTGAGCTTTACAAAATGATTCAAAACTGACTCCAAATTCTTCAAATCGGTGCGTCTCCAGTTTCTGCATGGAGCACAAATAACAGACAGGTATCAAAGAGATAATATTTACTTTAGCCCCCTATGTTAATAAAAAAAACAACAAAAAAAACAAGTCAAGATCTTAACAGTAATATCTGAAGATGTGTAGGCTCTCTTGATCATCAACCAACTTTTAAACAACACTTATATGAACCCCCAATGGAGTATAAATTAAGGATTTACAAAATATCCCCATATTTCTGTCTGTAACGATTAAAATCAAGTGAGTTTAATGAAAACACATCCCTTTCTGCATTCTGGTATCTTCACTCTAAACACTGTTTTATAAATGAGTGACACCAGCAGAGATAGAGATAAAAAGATATGCATTAACATCACATTTAGAGCTCACCTGTGGATTTGACTTGGCAAGGTTCTCAATCTTGATCCATGCCTCTTCTCGTTCTTTTGACTTTGCCTTTTCTCTGTTGGTGCAAAAATACATTTATCTCACTTTTAAGCTCCAGCACACTGGTTTGTCCTGATTTGAGCCATCTTAAAAAGGAGAAGAAATGACTTACTTGTTTTTCTCTGCCCTGAACTGCTGTGTGCAATCATCAAACAGCTTCTGATTCATCTCCATAAAAAGCTTCAGAGCGTTGTAGATGAGGCCATGGATGGTCCTGTGAACATAAAACAAATACATGATGTTCTTCCTGGGAGCAACAACGGCCAATTGGGAAGAATTAAAAAACATAATTGAGGAAAAATACAAAATATTAAAAGCTTTCTAAATACTATAAAAAAGATTTTGTTTTTTAGATAAGATATTTTATCAGGTTAATGTCAGTGTGTCACAATGAAAGAAAAACATACAATTAAAGAAAATTAGATTTCTAGACTTTGAGCCTGATCATGAGTGGTTTAGTGTACAGGGGGTAACAAGGAGCGAGCAGCCTCTCACGACCCCCTCCCGATCAAGGATCGTGAGGTCGTGGGCAAATTGCTCAGGGCGCATGCGCAAAGAAGGATTCTTCTTTTTATTCTTCCTCTTAGATGTAAACAGGGCAGCATGGCAGGGATGTAGTTCTGTTTGTAAAATTGACAGACCGTAGTAGTGACGCTTACTCAGCCATTTCTTTTTTCCAAATACATTGTCACCTTTTCTTCTTAGGGCTTTTAACAAAAAATTGCAAAAATTGTCAAGGCAGCACGTTTCACTCTAGTTAGCTTTATATTCCCCCTCCAGATGGATGAGTCAGAGAAGCTCCAACTCATAGTGGAGCTGAGTCCGACATGGTTTTTAGTCGTACAGTGTGCAGGAGGATCGCATCAGAGCATTGGGCCGAATATAAATCCTGAGCTGTGAGCTCACACTGTACGACTACACCCCGAGGTTAGTCGTACAGTGTGAGCAGCAGCTGCGTGCAACGATTGAAAAAAAACAACGAAAAAAAAGAAATCACACAGTGTACGCCCAGCTTTAACAAACATCTTTTGAAAGATAAATTTAGGAGATTAGATTTTGTGCCGGTGTAGGTGCCAGATCCAATCAAGCCCTCTGCATGCTAGTGACTTTAGGCTATATGGTTGGCTGAAAGTCGTCCCGATGACTTAATATTGTGGTTACCGAGTGAAGAATAACATAATGTCGCTTCCGTGTGACAAGTCGGTGGCATCGGTGTTTCAAATGACCAATGAAGTTTTATCTGATTGATAACAAAACTGAAAAAAATCTGTTTATGGTGAACAAAGTAAGTGCAGACCATGATATAAAGGGTGGAGAGCTGGGTAGGTCTGTGGCTAGCAGTGCTCAGTAGCTAACAGGTTAAACCTCTTTTAGCTTGGTCAGTTTTCCATATTAAAATACACCAATTTTTATTTCTTGTCAACAACAAGGCAGCACTTTCCTACAAGACTGTTTTGGCTACTTTAAATCGCCAAGGAAACAATATAACAGCAAATGAAGGTAACTATACGTTGAGACTGCAGAAGAGATTTGATTCCTAAGAAACATTTGCATTAAACCAATTGGTGATTCTAAAATGATGCAGAAACCCCTGAAAGCCCTAAGCTGAGTCAGACAGCATGTGAGAAGCAGTCCAAGCTAAACAGAAACATTCACAAAAACAACAGCAGGTGGCAATCCTGCACAGCTTACTTGTTCCAGTGCGTCTTTGAGTTGCGGTATAGAGCAGGAAACATAATGGGCAGGATCTTTGCTGCGTTGTCACTGATCAGACTCATGATGTACTCGTTGTTCCAGTAGTACAAGGCCCGTTCTGCCACCTGGGGGAAAATCAAAAAATCCCATCTCTGTTAGACGTATGCTGGGAATGTGTTGGCTCAATTAGATGAACCTCACCCTATGCGGTGACTTTTATGTTTGAATGCAATCACTCATTTTAATCAGAGACACTAAGACACAGTTACTGGGAAGGAAAAAAAGGCTTTCCTATCACACCGAATCCCTACCAACAAAAGAAATAAGATGGATTTAGGGAAATGATAGAAAGACCAAGATAAATTATTTATTTTTTTGCTTATTTTTCTTTGTCACTAAAATGGGTATTAATAAGAAATAAAAAGCTTGAAATTGTAAATATTTCTCCTAGTGAAAAACTTAAACTTGAAAAAATAAATAATAATAATAATATATATAATAATCTGCATATAAAAGTACCTTTGATATATTTGTGACAAATGGCTACAAAAATTTAAAGACCATCAATAGCAGTATACTTCATTAGCACATTTTAAGAACATCAACATCAAGTTTAATCAGGATAATTATATTTTTTGCGATTGTAATTTAAAGTAAAACTCTTAAGTCATTTTTGAGAACAGATTGCATGATAGTGTGTCAAACTTTGAACACACGTCCTGCTGTGAAAGTCTAGTTCATAATTATGACTACTTAACCAACCAGTTAATGTAATGATGCATTTGTATCACTACATTTCACACAAAAATGGAAGTTAATCCTCTTCTAAAATATACTGACTTTAATAACAAAGACAAAAGTAAAGCTGTTAAAGATTTTTTTTTTTTCCAAGATTAACAACACTATAGTTTTTCATCTATAATCATTATAAAATGCTCATAACTCTAAGCCTATAAAGTGACTGATAATCTTGTCAGTACCTGGAAGTGTGGGCTGGAGACGCACTTTGCCAGCTGTCGAAAAAGAGGCTCCTGAACCTTAACAAACTCTGAGGGTTCGATGACATCCAGGATCTCCTCTAGCTCATTGAGAAACATCACCTCCTTTGGGCTGTGAGTCTTTGGCCAGTACTTTAGTAGAGCCATTACTACCTGTGGGGAGGAAAGATGGATGGTAGCCAGTAAGTGAAGGAACAGAGAAAACCCCACTGAACCAAAAGAGTTTACTACTAAAATCAATTTAAAAGTACTTATTCTATAAACATACCGGCTCAGTTAGTGTGCTGTCCTTTTCCAAAAACTGCACCACACAGTAGGCCAGCTGCAAAGCGACAAAACAACCAATAAAGTGTTTGAATGTTTGCCTTTTTATAACAAGTTGAGACAGAAAAACGATTTGCATGCCACACCTCTTTGCTTCCTAAAAATAATACAGTTAGCTTTTATTTATTTGTTTGTAGGCTGAGAACAAACCTGTGGATGGTAGACACTGAGTGATTTGACTTTGTGCAGAGGCAATAAAACCTTCAACAGGAAAATCTTGTGCTCTTCTTTCAGGGGTAAGGCAAATCCGTTAATTATACTGTAAAAAAACAACGACAGAAAGAAATAAACACAAGATCAATATTGAGAAAAGTTAAGAACAATTATATTAAACATTACCTATTGCAACACTATGTGTATAGAACAGAATTGTAATTCAGGCATTGTACATATTTATTAGAAGAGATCAACTTAGATATTTGTGTTGAATTTAATGATTGAGGTTTACAGCAGTGGAAACACATTAAACCACCATTATTATATTCAATGATCAAAACAAAAGGTTTTACAATCGAAAAATTATTTGGTTTCCAAAATCAAGGAGAGATTTTCCTACTAAAGAGATCAGCACACGGTCATTGGTTTCTGGTGCACAAAGCAAGGATTCAGCTACCATTAGTGCTTTGAGAGATCACACAATAACGCATTCAGGATACGAGTTACAACTCTGAAAATCTTTTAGGTGAGCCACTCCTAAACAGTAGAGACAGAGCCAGGTTACTTTGACTAAGGAGAAGAAGGAAGTCCTCTTTTTAGATTAAAGGGGCAGTCACACCAGGAAAGTACTTTGGTCTGTCTATAACTTTATGCTCTCTGCTTTTCCTCATAGTAGCTTCATCTGATCTGTTCCTGTTTGGCTTTGATTCCATCCTGGATTGAAATATGAGCTGTGCTGCTGCCATCAACACCTTTGTTAATAGATGTTGGAGCTCGTCCTGTTTTTCAGTGTGGTCCTGTTTTTCTGACTGTAACTAACTGTATGTGCTCCTTTTATCCTCTGACATGGCTGTGTGTTTCCTGGATGGGGCCGCCTCTGGAGCTGGTTTTACAGATGTCCTTTGTATTTGTGCTTCTTTTTCTATGTCTGCTTCTGTCTCCTTGAACCTCAGTCGGCCTTGGCAGATGGCCGCTCACACCGAGTCTGGTTCTGCTTGAGGTTTCTTCCTGTTAAAAGGGTGCTTTTCTCTCAACTGTCGCTACAAGCGTGCTTAGTGTGAGGGATGGCCTTCGAGTCAATGAGTCCATGCAATCAACTGGTTTCCTTTGATAGAAAACTTTTAATCAATTTGACTGTATGGTCTGGTTGAATTGTCTCTGTAAAGTGCCTTGAGATGACGTATTGTAATTGTTGCTATATAAATAAACTGAATTGAATTGCTTGTTTGTTCTTATTTGCAAGTAGACTATAACTCATAACAAAGCACACACGAGACAATGATTGCTCCCATTGGTCAGAATAACTCCTGCAGGGAAGAGCAAAGACCCGAAACTGCACAAAAAATGGGAGTCTTTCATGCAGCACTTCTGTTTTTCATATTTATTCTGTTATCACAGCTGCAAAAGTGCACATGCATTATAAATTCTCATAAAAGCAGTAAACGCCTCTCCATTTTTTGAACGTTTTATGCGAGTAGATTCGATACCATGGGGGCCCCCGAATGTCAAAGCTTGTTTTCTCACTTAAAATTTTTAACTTCACATGAGCTAACATTAGATTCACCGTTTATATCGAGGAAAGTGAAGCTTGAATGAACTCTGTAAATGTCTGTGTTAAACTATAAACCAATCAGTTTGCAGCTAATGTAAAACATTTTCCCTTTTCTGCCTTCATTGTCAACCATCTTTAAAACAGAAAGAGAAACATCTCTTATTTCAACTGTATTTTTTTGTGTTTTAAAGCAAAAATTCAAAAGAAAACCCTATGACTAAAAAATACTGTGACCTATAACGAATCTAAAGATTTCATTTTTGGTGTTAAATTACTGCGATACTTGTTTACATCATTCACCTAGATCTACCACCACTCAACCTTACCTTCCAAGTATTTCCAGTAGTTCAGCTATACCATTATGGTGCTCAGTTTCATAGATAAACCTGAAAAATATAATGAGTTCATGTTAGCCATGTCGACCCAAACAAATGATTCAGGTTAACATTATAGAAGAGAGTTCATCTGTGGAGCTGCGGGAGACCGACACTGACCTATAGAAAATGTTATTGATCTGTTTTCTGATGTACGCCCGCAAGCCCAGAAATTTTCCATAGATCCGGTGGAGGGTGGTTTTCAGGAAGTCTCTCTCTCTGGGATCCTCGCTGTCAAATAGTTCTAAGAGCTGCAAAGCAAAGGAAGGTTAAAATTTTATTTTATTCAATCTATAGCATATCCTGTGACTTCTGACAGAAAAATGTTGGGGTTTACCTGCATAACAAATTTCTGGTCGATGTATTTCTTCGCTATGTTAGGTTGGAAGTCTGGAGATTCTAAAAACCTAAGAAAAAATTCATAGACGAGCTGCAAAAAAAGAACAGGATAGAAACAAAGGATTAGAAGCTGGAAAACAAAGGTAGTTGAGCATAAGGTTTTTAACAAACAGAAGGCAGAGGTACAATGAAGCTGATTTGGGTTATTAAAAACTGTTTTATTTTAAACTCAAACTTCTGAGCTGGTAAACAAAAACAAAGAATATGGACCTGCAGATGGGGCCATGCAGCTTCGAGCGTGGGCTCGTCCTCCTCGGGATCAAATTCCGCTCCGGTTGGGTTGGAAGATGGAGGCAACGTCCTGAACATGTTCACAGCAAACTGAAGGGAAACAAGGAAAAAATAATGCCATAAATGAATGCCAGGTGATCACTGTACAGCTGGAAGTGGGACTTTAGACCCAGTTTTTCTGATGTAAAGAGATACAAATAAAAAGGAAAAACAAAACAGAATTTTCATTTTCATTTTTAGGGAAACGTTGACCCAGCTCCTCCAATCACCCTGGGAGGCTTTGCCCCCGCTATCATTTAAGAAGCTTGTTTTTCTGGTCTCTCTTCACATCAACTGACTCCCCTGTGAGCTGCCGTTTCTGCTGCTCTGATCACAGGACAACAGCAGTGGGCTGCTAAAACACTAAGAGCCTTGTATTTTTTGTTTTGTTTTTAAAGAGGAGCTAGAAGGTAGGCTGTGGTGCACCCATTATAGACTGAAGATCACTGCAGCACTACATTAATAACCAGACTGGTTCCGTTTGAAAGAAAAAAACGAATTCAACTCTAAAATCTGAAACCTGAAGATCTACAGTTCGATGAAGCCATTTCTCCCTTTGATCAGTTTCCCCTTTTTATGTGAAATGTTTCAAATTAAACACATTTCCCACAGAAACAACCAGACTTTTAAGAGGAAGGATAATAAAAGGTCATAGGTTATAAATAAGCTGGTAAACAGAGTCCTGTCAGGATGAAACTGTGTGTCTTATTAAACTTAAATAGCTTGAACCTTTAACTTTGCGTAAACATTACTATAAATTATCATAATTACTTTGAACTATTATATAAATATCAAAACAATGAACTCTAATATAACTGTATGAATTGTTTTTTAGAGTTACCTTTTAACATTGAACTTTATTATTTATCTATTTTATATCAAAGTACATTTATACACATCCACTTTCTGATGCTGCAGGTTCTTATGCCATACAGGGCGATTGTATTGTGTCTATTTACCTGATTCTGACTGCAGTGCTAGGTTAAGTTTCAGAGCTCAAGGAAAAAGCACCGTCATCTTTTGCACTTTGTTTCCACGCAGCTAGATGTGAAAGTAGCGACGTTTTATTTGTGTGGACAGAGGAAATATCAGATTTTGTTCTCTGTCATTGAGTTAGCAGGTTTCATCACATGAAACATCTCAAATAAAATAAACCAACGAATAAAGCTATGCAAACAATAATCAATAAGTCTGTCAGATCTAAATTGAGGTGATTTTATTTCTAGCATGAGTGCCTGTTTAAACGTAATGTACAAAGAATAACAAACAAAGAAGGACTCTGCTCTCCATTAAAGTGGTTTTATATGGAGATATTCCATATAGCAGTGGTTCCCAAAGATTTTCTTCTGGGCCCCCCTTTGGATTACAATAAAATTTCCACAAACCACGTCCACGCCCCCCCTGCAATGGCATTGCGCCCCCCCTAGGGGGCACGCCCCACACTTTGGGAACCACTGCCATATAGTCATTCCAATAGTCAAAGAAAAACAGCTGATTTGATTTATTCATTTTTATTTCCTGCGGCTTCATCTTTGAGGGTATTCCCCTCCTCTTCTTCCGCTTGAAGGACTGGGCATCTAAATGTAATAACTTGAACAGCTCCAAGAGAATTGAAAGGATAGCAACTGCTCCAATTGGCCAAACTTAAAGCTAGGGCTAAAACAGCAAACACTGTGCTTTTGCTTGAGGACGTGGGCGACCTGCCATACTTAAAGCTACAGTGTGTAATTTTCAGCAACATCTAACGTCCAGACTGCAGACCGCAGCAACATGAACATCTCCCCCCCCCCCACCGCTTCTCCCCCCCAACAGTACGGCGAGCATTACGGGAAAAAATGTCTTCCACGACGTCCGCATCACCTACCTTCTCAATTGATGAGGTTTGTTTACATAGATAATTGTACAGATAGTATTTCATTAGTCTGTGTGTTCAGTACCGTCTAAGTTCATCTCTCTCAACTTGCCGTAGTTACTTTCGAGCGTAATGGGCGATCTCGCAATCACTAGTTTGTTGGCTCTGCGCTGCCATAGCGCAAAGATGTCTGCCTCCATGGCTGCGAGACCCGCTTCTATGTAATTATAAATAACGAATTCTAAGGCAACGCAAATATTAAGGTTAAGAGGCTGAGCTCGTAGATGATGATAAAATAACATAGTTATGTATAATATATTACATTTCTGACTGTATATCCCTGTAATTATTACACACTGTAGCTTTAATTTGTCTCAATGGCTCAACAAAAGAAAACAAAGGTTTTTTTTTTTTTTGTTGGCCTAGTCAAAGTCAGGGTGGGACAATGATCCTTTTAGGAATATACATTAAGGCTTCAGTTTTAGTAATGCTAGTCATTCTAACTGCACATACAGACTGCTAATCCATGTAAAGATTTGCCATTTGTTTAAAAAACGTACAGTTTGTGCAAGCTTTACAGCCACAGCACCTTCACTACTCCCATCAAAATGAGTGAGGTTTTAAACTGAATATACCAAAGGGTGTTCTGGGATGTCTTGGGTTCAGCTGAATTCGATATCGACAGGTCAAAGAAATCAGCCACTGATTGTTGAATCTCTTGTACAAGAAGCAGAAATCTTAAAAGCTGACCTACAAAGGATTCATTACTAAGAACCATCAGCTGAACCCTTTTTATTCAACTTCACTGCCCTGCAGCCACAGTGTCTTTACAATCAGATCCCCTCATCTAGCCTTAATAGCTACCCCTACTCACCATGTGCACCACCTCCGGGTAGATGGGCTCCGTTATGACGTTCCTGTTGTGGGTGATGTACTCGACCATCTCGCTCAGAGCCGCCCGCTTCACCTCCTTCCATTTCAGGTCACTCAATGGGTCCGAGAGGAAGTCAAAGAGGACGCAGCACTGCCGCAGCTTCTGAATGAAGAGCTTCTCCTGCTCTGCAGGGGCCACATCTAGATGAACACAACAAGAAATGGTGAGGGCAGAGATCAGAGGTAAAGATGAAGACATCCCTCTGAAAATTAGAAGGGGAAACAAAGTGTCAACCGAACAGTTAGAAACAGCAAAAACTTCACTTCTGAGGGAAAAAACGGGGAAAGATGGGGCAAATGAAAAATTATGAGATCTAAAAATGAAACTGAAAGGACAAAAGCATAAACTGAAGGTCTGGACAGAGAAGGAAAAAAATAAATGTGACTGAGGGAGAAAAAAATATGTCATTTTTTCTAAATTTCATGGCCTTTATTTCCTTTTTAACACTCATACGTCTCTGAACAATCCCCGCCTGCAGAACTCTAGACACATAACAGCAGGAGGAAACATCTACTCAAGACGTGCTAAATTCCTACCTGGCTGCCATTGTGGTTCAGTAATTACCCACCGTACACAATAATTACCTAGCTATGTGACAACTTTGATGTTTCTCTTCACCCCAGCCTGCAGCCATCTCTGATAACAGGTTGGCCTCTGATAAACCTGATAGCTAAAACATCAGGCAGGCTAAAACAGACTTTTCTTCAAAATCACGATTAAAATTCAGTTCAATAGATCATTATTTCTGTCACTCCATCACCAAATGAAAAGTAATGTAAGGATTAATAAAGGCTTTTTCTTTTAAATTTTGTCCCATTAAACAATAACATCCATACAGCTTAATGGGAGTTTATGTAAAAAAAACAAAAACACAATATTGTGCAGAACTGTGAAGTGGACGAAATCAAATTCCACGTTTATTTTATCAATAAAATAAGTCTTTACATAAAGCTGTGCATATTTAATTAATATCTAATTTAATTACCGGTAATCTAATAACTCAATAGCATAAAATAACTGTTTAGAGTCTATATTCATTTAGGTTTTTATTTTGAGTTGAAGACATAATTTAGATTTTTTTTCTCACCATAAATAATTTTTTGATTAAGAAAAAATTATTGCATATCCCAGCTTTGATCAATAGCTTTCTCCTTGCTAATATTCCTTCTCCTTACAGAGGTGGATCTCTGCTGCTCTGCAGGAGCTAGTTTTTCACTGGTGTTTCCCAACAGACCTTCTCAGTACAGCTTCAGTTCTACTTTGCACATCACACCGATGGACAATTTACATATTTTTTACACCTTTTATTTGAAATCCCTGCAGCGTCACAACATTAAGAAAAGTCAACATGTTTCCATGAAAAATATTTTTTGGGATTAGCTGATCGTTTTAAGAACTTCTGCGACATAATTTGGAGCTTAAAGTCGTAGGGAAATGGCCTTTCCAGCCGTTGCATTTCCGAATTCTCCCGAGTGGTGCACGATTTTACACGAGTGCATAAAGTGAAAGTGATTGGTCGTTTATCGAGGGGTCAGGATTGTTGTGGAGGAAGGTACGCAAGCAAGTTGGATTTTTGTCGGAAGCATCTTGCTAACCAGTTAGCAACTTAGTGCTAGTAGGTTCCCAATGGGAAATTACATTGGGACAAACCAACACTAAATTATTGACTTAGAAACAACATTATCAAGGAACGCTAATGACAGCAGAAACATGCAAGAGGAGGAGAGTTTTGTGTCGGAGGGCGTGAATGACGCTCTTCCGTCATACATTTTTTTTTATTTAGAGAAGGAAAGTGGGGACAAAGATGTTGTGGAAGATGACGGCAGGGCGGCAGAAGCTTGGTTTGGTGTAGAAGGCTTACAGTCATACATGTTTGGGCCCTTGCCTTGCAACACTGCCAGTTCTGTCAGCTCTACGCCTGCCGAAGACACAGACGTCCATCCCTGTGAACACTGGGATGAAACTCAATGGTAAAGGAAATTATTCTTATTTCAACCGTTGTGTATATTAGCTGCCACATATGAATTAAGGTGCTATAACCAATTTGATTGACAAATGACTATTGATATATGATTGACCGAATTTAGGTGTTCAGGTTGACGTATAACTAACTGACCTGCATAAGATAATGAAAAAAAAAAGATTTTAAGACAGGATCTTTTTCTAAATAGAAATTTTCTAACTTTTGGGACAATATCTGATAAAGAGTACATTTATATACATGTTTAAGCCACAATGATTTGACATTTAAATATGACTTCCCTACGACTTGAAAAATATGCATAAAGCCCTCGGTCACATACTGTATGTACAATACATTAGGTAAATTCAATAGTAGTAACAGAAGCAGATGCCTGTGACACAGGTCTCGAGTCAGACAGTACAACATACTATTGCTTGGAAAGTGATAGTTTGCATAGTTTCAACAAAATTACCCAAATCTTGTAACACATCTATGCTTCCCTATTGCTCACAGCTGCTATGCACATTAGATTGACATAAAAGCACTGGGTGTTAATCACTGCCTGCTTGCATACATAAAGATAAGGTTAAAAACAAGACATTCAAGAGATTAACATATTTTTGGGCAGTAACGATTAGTAGAAACATTTGATTGTGAAAAACAAGTTGACAGAAAGTTTCATGTGTCAAAACCTCATGTAAATAAATAAACATGTTTGTGTGTTATTTGTAGTTTAAAACGCATGTAGATCACTTAAAGGCATAGTGGAGGATTTTCGCTTTAAAAGACGCGCCCTCTCCACAAAAGGGATATGCACAACCCTGTACCTGCTCCTAAGAGGGAATGCCTATTATACGCATGTGAGAGCATGCACGAGCCCATTTCTCTTGGGGAAATGGATATCTCCAAATAGCATGCCAAACATTACCTGTCAAGTAGAAACTTTGCAACCGAGGCATCAGTGGGAAGCCTGAGCTGTGCTTCTCAAAAACACTGGTCTTGTTTCCCTCTACAGAGGCCTTTCTCTTCTTCCTCATACACTTCGTAGACACTTTTTCTCTTATGACCCTCTACCATTTTCAAAGAACTGTGGTGAGAAAGGTGAGCTTTAATGACCATCTGAAGCCATAGCTCACACATACACGGCTGAAATTGTGCATGCGCACAAAAAGACAGCTCATTATGGGCAAGGACATAGGATGGCCTTATGTAAACATACACTCACCGGCCACTTTATTAGGTACACCTGTCCAACTGCTCGTTAACACTTAATTTCTAAGCAGCCAATCACATGGCGGCAACTCAGTGCATTTAGGCATGTAGACATGGTCAAGACAATCTCCTGCAGTTCAAACCGAGCATCAGTATGGGGAAGAAAGGTGATTTGAGTGACGTTGAACGTGGCATGATTGTTGGTGCCAGAAGGGCTGGTCTGAGTATTTCAGAAACTGCTGATCTACTGGGATTTTCACGCACAACCATCTCTAGGGTTTACAGAGAATGGTCCGAAAAAGAAAAAACATCCAGTGAGCGGCAGTTCTGTGGGCGGAAATGCCTTGTTGATGCCAGAGGTCAGAGGAGAATGGCCAGACTGGTTCGAGCTGATAGAAGTGCAACAGTGACTCAAATAACCACCCGTTACAACCAAGGTGGGCAGAAGAGCATCTCTGAACGTACAGTACGTTGAACTTTGAGGCAGATGGGCTACAGCAGCAGAAGACCACACCGGGTGCCACTCCTTTCAGCTAAGAACAGGAAACTGAGGCTACAATTTGCACAAGCTCATCGAAATTGGACATTAGAAGATTGGAAAAACGTTGCCTGGTCTGATGAGTCTTGATTTCTGCTGCGACATTCGGATGGTAGGGTCAGAATTTGGCGTCTACAACATGAAAGCATGGATCCATTCTGCCTTGTATCAACGGTTCAGGCTGGTGGTGGTGGTGTCATGGTGTGGGGAATATTTTTTTGGCACTCTTTGGGCCCCTTGGTACCAATTGAGCATCGTTGCAACGCCACAGCCTACCTGAGTATTGTTGCTGACCATGTCCATCCCTTTATGACCACAATGTACCCAACTTCTGTTGGCTACTTTCAGCAGGATAATGCGCCATGTCATAAAGCTAGAATCATCTCAGACTGGTTTCTTGAAGATGACAATGAGTTCACTGTACTCAAATGGCCTTCACAGTCACCAGATCTCAATCCAATAGAGCATCTTTGGGATGTGGTGGAACGGGAGATTCGCATCATGGATGTGCAGCGGACAAATCTGCGGCAACTGTGTGATGCCATCATGTCAATATGGACCAAACTCCCTGAGGAATGCTTCCAGCACCTTGTTAAATCTATGTCACAAAGAATTGAGGCAGTTCTGAAGGCAAAAGGGGGTCCAACCCGTTACTAGCATGGGGTACCTAATAAAGTGGCCGGTGAGTGTATGACCAGAATGATTGACAATTAGGAGGACCACTGATTTAGATGATCCACCTGGAAAAAGATCAACCTCCACAATACCTTTAAAGAGAGCTCCAGAGCACTGTTAAAAAAGTAAATGGCAATTGTTGTTCTAACACACAATTGTATTGTAATCCGACTCAGAAATATAAATTTGACATCTAACAAATAAATACACGTTTGCCCAACTCAAATTCTCAGAAGTTGGTTTAACAAGGAGTTTTAAATCGCCTATACAAGATTTTTTGAGTTCCCTCAACTGTAAACTCATGGGCATGCGCACTGCTTATGTTCATGGACACGCCCACTACGGTACGGGGTTTCCTATCCCTTTCTTCAAGGGCACAGCCCTTTTCCCTCGTGTTTGAGAAGATTGGCGGACATTGTGATTTTATGCATCTGGAGAACCACGGAGGAACGACCCTGGGACCTTACCAGTTTTCCCGGTGAGTGCTGCAAAGTACAGACAGTTAGCGGTTAGCTCCGTGAGTTAGCATTCCCTTGTGGTGTATTGCCACCGAGTTGAAGCATGAGTTCACATGTTTTTCACGTTCTGATGAAAGGAAAAGCAGCGCACGTGCACGTGTATAATGCGCGTGTGCGCGTGCGTGTTTATGCCGCGCATGTGCGGGTGAGTGTTTATGCATAGAGAAAAGAGTGTGCCTGTTATTTTCATTGTACAAATGAAAAGAGACATTAAGTTGAGTGTAATAACTTATT